CCAAGGTGGGTGGATCACTTGAGGTCAGTTTGAGACCAGCCTGAGCAACATGGTGAAACCCCATCTCTACTAAAAATACAAAATTAGCCAGGCGTAGTGGCACGTGCCTATAATTCCAGCTACTCAGGAGGCTGTGGCAAACCCGGGAGGTGTGGTCTGGGTGTGGTGGCACATGCCTGTAGTCCCAGCTACTCAGGAGGCTGAGGCAGGAGAATTTGCTTGAACCCGGGAGGTGTAGGTGGCAGCGAGCCGAGATTGTGCCACCGCACTCTGGCCTGGGTGACAGAGTGAGACTCTGTCTCAAAAAAAGAAAAAAAAATTATGAATTAGACACTCATGTTTGGTTAATATAGGAAATGATGTTGGATTATACCTAGTTTTTGAGATCAGCATCATATAGGATAGTAATTCTTTCCTATATACCAATCCAGAATACTGGGGTAGATGAGCTAATTCAATATGGCAATTCCTATGTGTTCATATATTGGCTCATTTTCCAGAAAAGAAGACCAAATTATATGAATATTTTGATAATCTTAGAGCACTATTAAAATAATTAATCCCCCCTCCACAAAACTGTTATACATACATCACACATATACACGTAGGTACACACCTATCCATCTATTATAGTAGCCTTTTTCACGCCAAAGCTCATATGACAAAAGGCAATGCTCAGAAGAAGAAAAATAAAACACCTGCAATATTCTGGGAGGGTCCTCCACCCCTCCCTTTCTCAACTTCAATTATCTCACCCTCCCTGCACCACACACACTTTCTGAACCTGGCCCGTCATTAACTCTTTTTTTTTTTTTTTGAGACGGAGTCTTGCTTTGTCACCCAGGCTGGAGTGCAATGGCATGATCTCGGCTCACTGCAACCTCCACCTCCCAGGTTCAAGTGATTCTCCTGACTCAACCTCCCGATAACTGGGACTACAGGCAGGCACCACCATGCCCGGCTAATTTTTTTTGTATTTTTAGCAGAGATGGGCTTTCACCATGCTGGTCAGGCTCATCTTGAACTCCTGACCTCAAGTGATCCGCC